ACCCCTCCCAGGCAATCTACTGTCTAAGCTTTGCTGATGTGGGTTCTACTACCGGTTCCAATCTGCGTCTTGAGTCCCGAGTAGACCTACCAGTCAAAGCTATGTAGATTCTCCAGCTGGAGTTCTCTGGGTCTGTAAAACTGTTTTCTTCCCAAACTTTAGGACTGTTTCCCTCAGCTGCTGTAAAGCTGAGAGGCTGTAATCTCCCAGCCAGAGCTTTGGGACTGTTTCCCCCCGGAATGTCTGCCCCGAATGCTGTAGGAAGTGAAGCTTTTCTACGGATGGAGCTAATCCACATCCAGTAGCTTAGCTTTCCACTATAATGAAGTCGAACATGACTCCCCCCCCGAGATAGTAACTTATAGTTTTGCTAAGGGCAAGGACACCAGGCTGGATAACAAGGGTTAAGCCTTGGTCAGTTTGGTGGGTATCATTCAATCAAGGCTTTATGCTCTATTCTCATATGTTTACAGCAGGAGGTAACCCATTTATTACTGAAAATCCTGCCACAAAAGTATTTGAATTTTCCCACCTGAGGCACACCTGGGCTCCTGATGGCCCCCCATCTCACAAACAAGGGACTCCCTTTCCCCCTCATGGATATATTTCCCTTTATGGACACTGGGGGAAGGTAGTTGGGTTTACTCTCTGTATTATGATTTCTATATTTTCATATTTTCTCCTGTATTTCTATATTTCCCCTCACGTTTCCTTGTATTCCTGACCCTTTGCCCCCTTCTCCCTCCAAAGAAGTAGGTAAGGGAACCACCTGGCCTTCAGAAACAAAAGCCATTTGCGATTACTGAAACCTCCAGCCAAAGGCACACTTGCATGGATAATAGGAGGAGATTCTTATCTCTAGCATCAGAGATGGCCCACTAGAGTAAAGAATTGTTTGGCACAGTTTCTATCACCCTTCAAGTAAGATCAGGGGAAATCTCCCCCTCTGCTTTTCGTTTATTTCCCATTGATAGCATTAACCCCAGGCTGCCATCAATTGTTCTCCTGTCTCACAGCCAGGAAGGATCTGGATATTTTTACACATGCTGATTTACAACACTCATGAACACAATAGATCAGCCCTGCTGGAGACTTCCTTTTTGTCTCGCGAGCCACATGGCATTATTTTTTTCAAAACTAATTCACAGATTCCTTTGTGTTCTATCATCCCACCTCCCTCTCTCCTGATTTGCTGTCACCGCCAGGTGGCAGAGGTCTCCCCATTGGATCCTATGGACCACTGGAGCTTCCTGATTGGTCCAGAGGCACCAGGGGCAGGAGGGCCGCCTCCCAGCTGTTCGCCTATTGTCCAATCTCGGCAGGGAACAACAGGGAAGCCGGGGCGGGAAGTTTGAACTCTGCAATTTTGAATTTACTATAAATATGACTGCATTGGTGTATTCTCCTCATGCTCTGCTGGCGAATGATTGCAGCTCTGCATCCTTTTCAGCTGAATCGCAAATAAAACCTCGATGGCTCTTCTTCAACTTGGTGAGACCTTTCATTGGGAAATCAGGGAAAAATATTGGGTGCTTCTCTTCTCACCAGGGAAAAAGAACTCTTTGATGAGTCTAATTGGTCTCTGCCTCCTGGCAAAGACCCCTAAATTTTAGCTCTAGATCAATAGGACTGAACTAAAAATTGCTCCCTCTCTTACCATGGCCCTGGGGAAAGGGGCGGAACCAAAACTTAACAATGATAGACAGGTGGCTAGCCCTATGATTGCAAACCAAGGGAAGCCACCTTGTTGCAAATGCATGGAACCTTGGAATATATGCAAACACTCAATAGAAAGAAAATGAAGCTGAAGCTCCTGGTACAGCCGTACTAGCACAGTATATATTTGTGTATATGTGTATATATATGGTTTTGTGCATGCATTGTAATTTTTTTGTGTCTTCTGCTGTGTTTTTCAGAGTTTTATGAGTAATGGTCACTCGTTGGCCTCATCAGTCTATCGTGTCCAAATTTGGTGTCAATTCATCCAGTGGATTTTGAGTTATGTTAATCCCACAAACGAACATTACATTTGTATTTATATAGATATGTATGTCTGTTTAAAACATGAGGCAAGGTGACCTTTTTGTGAACTATGACCAACATCCCAGGGATTTCAAGATATTCTGGGTCTTCATCCCCAATCAATGGACTTTTCAAAAACTCTCAAGCATGGACAATAGAGAAATGGTTTCCTTTTCCTGGGCTTTAGAGAGCTGTTGACTAGCCTGCCTGAATATCTGGGACCTATAAACATAGAATCATAGAATCAAAGAGTTGGAAGAGACCTCATGGGCCATCCAGTCCAACCCCCTGCCAAGAGGCAGGAATATTGCATTCAAATCACCCCTGACAGATGGCCATCCAGCCTCTGTTTAAAAGCTTCCAAAGAAGGAGCCTCCACCACACTCCAGGGCAGAGAGTTCCACTGTTGAACGGCTCTCACAGTCAGGAAGTTCTTCCTCATGTTCAGATGGAATCTCCTCTCTTGTAGTTTGAAGTCATTGTTTCGCGTCCTAGTCTCCAGGGAAGCAGAAAACAAACTTGCTCCCTCCTCCCTATGACTTCCTCTCACATATTTATACATGACTATCATACCTCCTCTCAGCCTTCTCTTCTTCAGGCTAAACATGCCCAGCTCCTTAAACCGCTCCTCATAGGGCTTGTTCTCCAGACCCTTGATCATTTTAGTCGCCCTCCTCTGGACACATTCCAGCTTGTCAATATCTCTATTCAATTGTGGTGCTCAGAATTGGACACAATATTCCAGGTGTGGTCTAACCAAAGCAGAATAGAGCATGGGGAGCATGACTTCCCTAGATCTAGACACTATGCTCCTATTGATGCAGGCCAAAATCCCATTGGCTTTTTTTGCTGCCACATCACATTATTGTTTCATGTTTAACTTGTTTTCCACGAGGACTCCAATATCTTTTTCACACGTCCTGCTCTCGAGCCAGGCATCGTCCCCCATTCTGTATCTTTGCATTTCGTTTTTTTTGCCTAAGTGGAGTCTCTTGCATTTTTCCCTGTTGAACTTCATTTTGTTAGTTTTGGCCCATCATCTCTCTAATCTGTCAAGATCGTTTTGAATCCTGCTCCTGTCCTCTGGAGTATTGGCTATCCCTCCCAATTTGGTGTTGTCTGCAAACTTGGGACCAAATTGGGAAGCAGTATAGCTGTACTTTTGAGCAATGGGCTGGCTCTGAGGGGCCAGCCAGAAATGTTATTTCAAAACTCTAAATCAATAGCTAGGTCAGGCTTGAGGGCTTACAGCAATCCCTTTAATCGTCTGTTTATAGAGCCACTCATAATCCTATCATCAAGCTACTATTTTCTTTTGTTTTACTGTTGTGGTGCCTCCTTGCACACCATTGGCTGAGCAGCCGAAGCGGGGCTTAGGCTCCCATTGGACGAGCCACACCTGCCTCCGGCCGCTCCTCCTGGCTCACTGACATTACAGCCAATCACAGCAAAGCCAGCTCAGGAGGCGGGCACGGGAAATTTGGAAAAAAATGTATATATTGTCTTAGTTTTCTGTATTGGAACCATGGTGGTTTCTTTAGCAGATTACTGCAGCCGTCATCCTTTTCCAGCTGAAACAGAAATAAATACCTCGGTGGCTTCTGCTTCAACTTGGTGAGATTTATTCTGGAATATTGGCTTCTTTTTTCTCACCAGGCTAAACCCATGGGGGCTTGGATCTCACTATCCACAGCCATTCTAAATTGTTCGACAACACAACTACAACTCCCAAATGTCAAGGCCTATTTTCCCCAAACTCCACCAGTGTTCACATTTGGATATATTGAGTATCCGTGCCAAGTTTGGCCAACATCCATCATTGTTTGAATCCATAGTGCTCTCTGGATGTAGGTGAACTACAAATCCCAAACTCAAGGTCAGTGCTCACCAAAACCTTCCACTATTTTTGTTGGTCATGGGATTGTGGCACAGCTGGCTGAGTGTCAGCTGCATTAAGATCACTCTGACCAAAAGGTCAGAAGCCAGCCCAAGTTGGAGTGGGTTTCCAACCAATTGTGTGTAGCCTGTTGTCGACCTTCACAGCCCAAAAGACAGTTGCATCTGTCAACTAGGAAAATTAGGTACCACATTAAAGTGTGGGGAGGCTAAATTGACTGATTTATGAGGCCATAAAGAAGACTCCAGCAAAGCATTCCAGCGGGGAAGCATGCGGGGAATGCGGAAGTGCTTCATCAGTGTCGCAGATGGACGATGAAAGCGACAGCTCCCCTGGCGGCCAGAAAAAGTTAAATAGCCTCTGTGTATGTCTGTATATGTTTGTATGTCAGAAATTGGCATTGAATGTTTGCCATATATGTGTACACTGTAATCCGCCCTGAGTCCCCTGTGAGGTGAGAAGGCCGGAATATAAAAGCTGTAAATAAATAAATAAAATAAATATTTTCCCCAAACTCCATCAGTGTTCACATTTGGATATATTGAGTATACATGCCAAGTTTGGTCCAGACCCATCATTGTTTGAATCCACAATGCTCTCTGGATGCAGGTGAACTACAAATCCCAAACTCAAGGTCAATGCCCACCAAAACCTTCCACTATTTTCTGTTAATCATGGGAGTTCTGTGTGCCAAGTTTGGTTCAATTCCATCAGTGGAGTTCAGAATGCTCTTTGATTGTAGGTGAACTATAAATCCCATATTTGAGTATATCGAGTCTTTGTGTCAAATTTGGTCCAGTGAATGAAAATCCATCCTGCATTTCAGATATTTACGTTACAATTCATAACAGTAGCAAAATTACAGTTACAAAGTAGCAACAAAAATAATGTTATGGTAGGGGGTCACCACAACACGAGGAACTATAGTAAGGGGTCACGGCATTAGGAAGGTTGAGAAACACTGAGTTAGACAGCAATGTTGTCCCCTGTCCATCCAGGCCATCTTCATGGCATGGAGAAGGTGTCCCTCTTCTTCCGGGCATAACCGGATCCCGATTTGATGGGAAGCCATCATTTAGTCTCATCGTCTCTTCCAAAGGTAGGTTTGGATGGATTGGGCTGGAGCAATGTCCTCAATGTAGCCGAGTTGGTCATCAGCGATGCTGAAATCCACGTCCCAGGAGCACCTGAAGGAAAGGAAAGTTTTGTGCCATTAAGCAACCATATATTTCTAGGATGTTGGAGGTTCCCTTATCAATCTGTCTTACTCACTTGTTAAGCACAACTACTGCGGCAACACTGTCGGGACGTAGGAAGGCGGCACCCTGCAGCTGGCAGCTGGTAATTTCAAAATTGTTGGTCAAGGCAACCCGGATGGAGCCTTCAGGGATGAATTTGCTGGGAAAGAAAAGAGAAAAGTTGTCGCGCTCAGCATCGAAACAGATTACCACCTAAGATGCAATCATCCAATATGCCAAAGGCTGGAGGTCTTCTTCATGCCTGATATGTTGGACCACAGCTCCCAATACTAAATGTGTGGGTCTGATAAAACATCTCAGAGGGTCAAAGCTTTCCCAAAATACACATCCCAAGATCTCATAGATCCTGGCTTACCTGAAGTGAGCCAAGTGGTAGAACATGGGCTGCTTGTAGAACTCGTCTCGGAGGGGATTCACGATGATCGGGCTGTCCACGTGGTTCTTCACATAGTTGGGTCCCCCTTCCATATCCAGGACCAGGTTCCAGTCAATCCAACCAACAATAAAGCTGTTGAGGTTCTATAGAAGTCAAAGGGCAATGGTTGGCCCAAGCAGTAATGATATTGCTAGACAACATCTCCCCAAAGCCTACACTATTGGCCATGTTAGCTAGAGTTCCTGAGTGTGGAAGGACTAGAAAAGAGGGGGGCCAAAATTGGAAGTACTAGATGTTCAGATGGTCTTTAGGCAGCTTTTAGTCCTGTGCGAAACTGTGGCTTTCTGAAATGTTATTGAATAGCAGTCTATCATCCCTCACTGCCAGGTTTCTGTCTGGTAGGATTTTCAATCCAATCATATTTCTCTGGACTTCTAGACTCCTTGAGAGAGAGCTATGAAACTTTCTCCTCTGAACGTCTAGAGCCTAGACTCTTGAGCTTCCAGAGAGGGCTATGAAGCATTCTCCTCCGAACTTCCAGAGAGGGCTAGGAAACATTCTCCTCTGAACTTCTAGAGTCCTCGGCTTCCAGAGAGGACTGTGAAACAACCTCCTCTGAACTTTTAGACTTCTCAGCTTTCAGAGATGACTGTGGAACAACCTCTTCTGAAGTTCTAGACTTCTCAGCTTTCAGAGATGACTATGAAACATCCTCCTCTGAGCTTCTAGACGCCTCAGCGTCCAGAGATGACTGTGGAACAACCTCCTCTGAACTTCTAGACTCCTCAGCTTCCAGAGATTACTGTGAAACAACTTCCTCTGAACTTCTAGACTTCTCAGCTTCCAGAGAAGACTATGAAACATCCTCCTCTGAACTTCTAGACTCCTCAGCTTCCAGAGATGACTATGAAACCTCCTCCTCTGAATTTCTAGACTCTTCAGCTTCCAGAAATGACTATGAAACATCCTCTTCTGAACTTCTAGACTCTTCTGCTTCCAGAAATGACTGAAACATCTTCCTCTGGACTTCTAGACTCTTCTGCTTCCAGAAATGACTATGAAACGCCCTTCTCTGAACTTCTAGACTCCTCGGCTTCCAGAGATGACTGTGAAACAACCTCCTCTGAATTTCTAAATTTCCCAGAGATGACTATGAAACATCTTCCTCTGAAATGACTATGAAACATCCTCCTCTGAACTTCTAGACTTCTCAACTTCCAGAGATGACTATGAAACATCCTCCTCTGAACTAGACTCCTCAGCTTCCAGAAATGAGTATGAAACATCCTCCTCTGAACTACTAGACTCCTCGGCTTTCAGAGATGACTATGAAACATCCTCCTCTGAACTTCTAGACTCCTCAGCTTTCAGAGATGACTGTGAAACAACCTCCTCTGAATTTCTAGATTTCCCAGCTTCCAGAGATGACTATGAAACATCTTCCTCTGAATTTCTAGAGTCCTCAGCTCCCAGAAATGACTATGAAACATCCTCCTCTGAACTTCTAAACTTCCCAGCTTCCAGAGATGACTATGAAACATCCTCCTCTGAACTAGACTCCTCAGCTTCCAGAAATGAGTATGAAACATCCTCCTCTGAACTACTAGACTCCTCGGCTTTCAGAGATGACTATGAAACATCCTCCTCTGAACTTCTAGACTCCTCAGCTTTCAGAGATGACTGTGAAACAACCTCCTCTGAATGTCTAGATTTCCCAGCTTCCAGAGATGACTATGAAACATCTTCCTCTGAATTTCTAGAGTCCACAGGTTCCAGAAATGACTATGAAACATCCTCCTCTGAACTTCTAGACTTCCCAGCTTCCAGAAATGACTATGAAACATTCTCCTCTGAATGCTTTCAGAGTCCTCAGCTTCCAGAGATGACTATGAAACATCCACCTCTGAATTTCTAGAGTCCTCAGCTTCCAGAAATGACTACGAAACATCCTTCTCTGAACTTCTAGAGTCCTTGGCTTCCAGAGAGGTCTATGAAACATTCTCCTCTGAACTTCTAGAGTCCTTGGCTTCCAGAGAGGGCTAGGATATATTCTCCTCTGAACTTCCAAAGAGGGCTAGTACATGCCCTCCTCTGAACTTCTAGACTCTTCAGCTTCCAGAGAGGGCTATGAAACATTGTCCTCTGAACGTTTAGACTCTGGAGATGTCAAGGTTCAAAAACTGGACCTTTGGCACACAAGGCTGGAACTGGATCATGGCTTCCCTAGTTCAGCATTATCAGTCTAGAGATGATACTGATCTTGGTAGGCCATGGTGTGATTCCACATAAGACACTTTTCTATATTTTCTCCCTGGGGCCATGCCCACTGGACATGTCTACATGGATACCACACTGCAAAACCTGTCCTAAACCACCATCTGACCATCTTTCCCCAATGGATCTTGCAGTCAACGGACAATGTTCTATATAAGTATTTCTCAGCATACTATTTGGCTTTAACATTTTAGAAATAAGGAACAATGGAAATCCCAATGTGTCAGTGTGATTGTCAAAAGTGGAGCAGGAGAAAGCCCTGGTGGAATGGAACGAGGCTGGGTCCAGTCCTCAGAAATAGTTGGGGGAGGTTTTACCGTCAGGATGTTTTGGGAGTATCGGACACCTCGCTCCCAGCTCCCAAGGTCAACTCTGGGCTCCCAGATCCGGAAGCCATTACAGGATTCGGTGTAGAGCAGGAAGAAGTTGGGATAGAGGAGGTGGGTGGCCTCTAAGGTGAGTCCAGGAGGAGTCACACTGTCTAGGTACCAGTGGATCCCAATGCCAGCCACATACTTGGCAGCACTGCTGTTCCCGATGACCTGGAAAAGCAGAGAGTATGTGTAAAGACCAACATAATACAGGCAATGTGTTGTCAAAGGCTTTCATGGCTGGAATCATTGGGTTGCTATGAGTTTTCCAGGCTGAATGGTCATGCTCCAGAAGCATGACCATTCAGTCTAGAGATCAGTCCATCTCTATGAGTTTTCCACTCTGGGTGGTCATGCTCCAGAAGCATGACCATACTGTCTAGAGATCCGTCCATCTCTATGAGTTTTCCAGGCTGGATGGTCATGCTCCAGAACCATGACCATTCCGTCTAGAGATCAGTCCATGTCTATGAGTTTTCCAGGCTGGATGGTCATGCTCCAGAAGCATGATCATTCCGTCTAGAGATCAGTCCATCTCTATGAGTTTTCCAGGCTGGATGGTCATGCTCCAGAAGCATGATCATTCCGCCTAGAGATTGGTCCATGTCTATGAGTTTTCCACGCTGGATGGTCATGCTCCAGAAGCATGATCATTCAGTCTAGAGATCAGTCCATCTCTATGAGTTTTCCAGGCTGGATGGTCATGCTCCAGAAGCATGACCATTCCGTCTAGAGATCAGTCCATCTCTATGAGTTTTCCAGGCTGGATGGTCATGCTCCAGAAGCATGATCATTCCGTCTAGAGATCGGTCCATCTCTATGAGTTTTCCAGGCTGGATGGTCATGCTCCAGAAGCATGACCATTCCATCTAGAGATCGGTCCATCTCTATGAGTTTTCCAGGCTGGATGGTCATGCTCCAGAAGCATGACCATTCTGGCTAGAGATCGGTCCATCTCTATGAGTTTTCCAAGCTGGATGGTCATGCTCCAGAAGCATGACCATTCCATCTAGAGATCGGTCCATCTCTATGAGTTTTCCAGGCTGGATGGTCATGCTCCAGAAGCATGACCATTCCATCTAGAGATCGGTCCATCTCTATGAGTTTTCCAGGCTGGATGGTCATGCTCCAGAAGCATGACCATTCTGGCTAGAGAGCGGTCCATCTCTATGAGTTTTCCAGGCTGGATGGTCATGCTCCAGAAGCATGACCATTCCATCTAGAGATCGGTCCATCTCTATGAGTTTTCCAGGCTGGATGGTCATGCTCCAGAAGCATGATCATTCTGTCTAGAGATCAGTCCATCTCTATGAGTTTTCCAGACTGGATGGTCATGCTCCAGAAGCATTATCCATTCCGTCTAGAGATCAGTCCATCTCTATGAGTTTTCCAGGCTGGATGGTCATGCTCCAGAAGCATGATCATTCAGTCTAGAGATCAGTCCATCTCTATGAGTTTTCCAGGCTGGATGGTCATGCTCCAGAAGCATGACCATTCCATCTAGAGATCAGTCCATCTCTATGAGTTTTCCACGCTGGATGGTCATGCTCCAGAAGCATGACCATTCAGTCTAGAGATCTGTCCATCTCTATGAGTTTTCCAGGCTGTATGGCCATGCTCCAGAAGCATGACCATTCCATCTAGAGATCAGTCCATCTCTATGAGTTTTCCATGCTGGATGGTCATGCTCCAGAAGCATGACCATTCAGTCTAGAGATCTGTCCATCTCTATGAGTTTTCCAGGCTGTATGGCCATGCTCCAGAAGCATGACCATTCCATCTAGAGATCAGTCCATCTCTATAATGCTGAACTAAGTAATGCCACAGATGTGACGTTTCACCCACATCTGTGGCAGCCATCCTCAGAGGTTGTGAGGTCAGTTGTAATCTAGGCAATCCTACCAATCTTTAGTAAACCCAGTCAAGATATCAGGTTGACCACCTACCACGTTGGCCCAATTGGGCAGGTGGATCCTTTGGTCATCGTGAATGATGAGCAGGACATCCTTATGGCGACTGGCGGCCAATGCGGGACCCAGATCCAGGATGATGAAATCCCGTTGCGTTTCCGGACTAAACTGGGTCATGGGGAAATTCTTCATGGGAATGAAAACCGAGGATGACGGCTCGTTCTGAGCTGTGACTGCCCAGAAGGTGATGTTGTGACGGGCGTATTCGTCCAGGAACCTGGATTCCAAGATGCAAAGAATAAGGGTATACTTTAACAACAACAACACTTTATTTGTGTTCCACCCTATCTCTCCGAGGGGACTGAGGGCGGATTCCAGCATATATACAGACATAGGCAAGCATTCAATGCCTTAGAACAATGAAACACAAATACACAAACAAAGGCAAAGGCTTCCCCTTTCATTTCTGGCTCTGGGTCTGGTGCTCATCTCAATTTCCAAGCTGAATAATAATATAATAATAAAACGTTATTTATAAATGCCCTTACGGAAGGAAGTGAGGGTTGGGGCCAGTCTTACCTCCTTGGGGAGGGCATTCCAGAGGCAGGGGGCCACCACTGAGAAGGCCCTCTCCCTCGTCCCCACCAAATGGGCTGGGAGCGAGACGAGGGCCTCCCTGATGGTGGGAGTGAGACGAGGGCCTCCCCGGTGGATCTTAGAGTCCACGCCGGTTCAGAGGGAGATGCGATCATGGAGATAGGCGGAGCCCGAACCGCTTAGGGCTTTATAGTTCACCACCTGCACCTTGAATTTGGCTTGGCAACTTTTTGGCAGCCAGTGGAGCTGTTTCAATAGGGGCATTGTACGCTCCCTATAGTTAGCTCTGATTAGGAGCCTGGCTGCCGCATGTTGTACTAGTTGGAATTTCTGGGCCGTCTTCAAGGGCAGCCCCATGTTGAGTGCATTGCAGAAGTCCAATCTGGATGTAACCAAGGCATGGACCACCCTGGCCAAGTTAGACTACATGAGGTATGGTTGCAGCTGGTGCACAAGTTTTAATTGTGCAAAGGCCCTCCCAGCCACCGCCGACACCTGAGCTTCAAGTGACAGTGTCAAGTCCAGGAGGACCCCCAAGCTATGGACCTGTATCCTCAGGGGGGGTGCACAGGTTGCCACCCACCCGACTGACCAGGAGGACCTCTGTCTTGTCTGGATTGAGTGTCAACTTGTTAGCCCTTATCCAATCCATCACAGCTGCCAGACACTGGTTTAGAGCACGGGAGACTTCCTTGGAATTAGGAGGAAAGGAGTAGTAGAGTTGGGTGTCATCTGCGTACAGATGGCGCCGAACTCCAAAACTCCATACTCCAAAACTCCAAAGAGCCTGCGTTGCCTGTAGACACCTCCTAGGTCATGTGGCCGCCATGATTGCATGGAGCATCGCTACCTTCCCGCAAAAGCGTTACCTATTGATCTACTCACATGTGCATGTTTTCAAACTGTTCGATTGGCAGGAGCCGGTGCTAACAGCGGGAGCTCACCCTGTCCCATGGATTCAAACTGCCAAACTTCCGGTCAACAAATTCAGCAGCTCAGCGGTTTAACCCGTTGTGCCACCACGGCCAGAACTAGTTATTTTTACACTATCAAGATCCTATTCCCTAGTAATTATACAATAACAATTTCCTTCTCCAAATGGTAGCAGACGAGTCCCCCGGCCCAATCATGTTCTGCCTTCAACTCAGTTGACATTTAACATATTATCAATGGTTTGGACAACTGGGAATTGATTCCCTAACAAAGAGATTGATACCTGACAAAATAGCGGGCCCAGGTCTTGTGGTGGATATCGCCTGGCTCTCCCTTCAGGCGCGCTTTGCCCATCACTTGGTTATTGGTCCTCAGCCAGCCGGGAGCGCTCCATGGACTGCCAATGAGGGAGAGGTGCCGCTTCGCAGTGGCCATGAAGCGGTGGAGGAGCGGGATCTACAAAGAGAGCTCAGTAAATGGATCCCAATTCCAGAGGCATGAGCGTATTTCATCTACCCACCCAAAACCATTACTAGTTGGCCATCCCATCGATATGAATGAAGGGACTGTTGAAAATAGCAACCTTTTCAAGCCTCCACTAGTTATTTGTTACTTATATAATTGCTTACTAGGCATAGTTAGGTACCGTCGGAATCTTCGTAGTTTGGAAAAAAGTCGGAAAAATTACCTTTTTGAAGCAATTTTGAAGTTTTTAAGAAAACCAGAAGTCTCTATGCCCTTCCGAAGCTTTCTCCACCATTTTTGTTATGACTCATGAAGTGAGTCGGAAATGATTCAGCTTTTCCCTGCTTCTGGTCCCTGGCCTCAGCTCAAGCCAGAGAAGCCAGTTTTACACCAGAGAAGGAAGGAATTTCCTGGCCTCGGCTCAAGCCAGAGAAGCCAGTTTTAACCAGAGAAGGAAGGAATTTCCTGGCCTCGGCTCAAGCCAGAGAAGCCAGTTTTAAACCAGAGAAGGAAGGAATTTCCTGGCCTCGGCTCAAGCCAGAGAAGCCAGTTTTAAACCAGAGAAGGAAGGAATTTCCTGGTCTCGGCTCAAGCCAGAGAAGCCAGTTTTAAACCAGAGAAGGAAGGAATTTCCTGGCCTTGGCTCAAGCCAGAGAAGCCAGTTTTAAACCAGAGAAGGAAGGAATTTCTTGGCCTCGGCTCAAGCCAGAGAAGCCAGTTTTAAAACCAGAGAATAAAGCAGAGAAGCCAGTTTTAAAGCCAGAGAAGCCAATTTTAAACCAGAGAAGGTAGGAATTTCCTCTGCTTGCTTTTCCTCGCTTCTGGAGTAAAACAACTACTTTCAAAGTAATGACGACCCAATGAAACAGGAAATAACACTTTCAAACCATTAATGAAAGGATTCGGAAGTGTCGGAAGTTTCGAAAAGTTTTGAACATTTTTAATGTGAAAATCAGAATTGACTTTAGAATCAAACCACCATCCGAAACGAGTTTTGAACCATTTTTTTTTATCAGCCAAGCCTATATGTGTGTATTGGCATGCAACGTTACCTAACCTCTTTTTTGTGGGAGGAGCTGTAGACCATGTGATCAGAACTGAGCATGTTCAGGACTAAGACTCCATTTTAGATCAGTGTTTGCTTTAGATTTCAGTGGAGATAGAAGCCATTTAAAAGAGGCGGTGGTCTCTCCTTTGCTGAAGAAACCAGATTTAGATCCCTCGGTTCCCTCCAGTTACCGCCCAGTTTTGAATCTCTCGTTCCTGGGCAAGGTGATGGAGAGGGCAGCAGCGGAGCAGTTGCAGCAATTCCTAGACAACACAGCCGGACTAGATCCCTCCCAGTCCGGCTTCCGTGCGGGGCATGGGACAGAGACTGTGCTGGTCTCCATCACGGATCACCTTCGATGCCAGCTTGACCAGGGTGGGTCAGCGCTGCTTGTGCTATTGGATCTCACAGCAGCATTTGACACAGTCGACCACAATCTCTTGACCCACCGCCTTGCTGTTGCTGGAATCAGGGGGACAGCTTTAAACTGGCTGTCCTCCTTTCTTCACAACCATGGACAGCGAGTGGAGAGGGGAGGCCTGGTCTCTGAGAGGTCCCCTCTATCTTGTGGGGTTCCTCAGGGGGCCATTCTCTCCCCTCTGTTATTTAACATCTATATGCGACCACTTGCTCAGCTGGTTCGAGGTTTTGGGCTTGAGTGTTATCAGTATGCCGATGACACTCAGCTGGTGCTGAAGATGGAAGGCCGACCGGACTCTGTACCCGATTGTTTCCATCAGTGCCTCGAGGCCGTTACTGGATGGCTGAGTGCCAGCAGGTTGAGGGTGAATCCAGCAAAGACGGAGATCCTATGGCTGGGTCGACCGGGCAGTGGGGACATCCATCTGCCCACCCTGGATGGCGAGGCGTTACGCCCGTCATCATTGGTAAAGAGTCTGGGAGTCCTTTTGGACCCTCTGCTGACAATGGAGGCCCAGGTCTCCGCCATGAGCAGAACCGCCTTCTTTCACCTGCGGCAGGCTAGACGGCTGGCCCCCTCCCTGTCCAGGGACGACCTAGCTACGGTGATCCAGGCTACGCTCATCTCAAGACTGGACTACTGTAACGCCCTCTACATTGGCCTCCCTCTGTCGGTGATCCGGAAGCTCAAGTTGGTACAAAATGCAGCTGCTCGGCTTCTTGCGGGAATTCCGATGAGATGCCACATAACACCAATCTTACTGCAGCTGCATTGGTTACCAATTGAGCACCGGATCACTTTCAAAGTGATGGTACTCACCTTTAAGGCCTTGCATGGTCTGGGGCCGATGTATCTGAGGGATCGTCTCACCCCCTACCAACCCCAGAGATCCCTCCGTTCTGAGGACCAAGATCTATTGGAGGTCCCCAGTGTCAAGACCTTGCGTCTAGCGGCAACCAGACGCAGAGCCTTCACAGCAGTGGCGCCATCAGTCTGGAATGCTCTGCCACCTGAGGTTCGTGCCCTGCGGGACTTACCAGCTTTCCGCAGGGCATGTAAGACATACCTGTTTCGACAGGCTTTTAATGTTTGATAGTGTTGTTTTTAAATTGTTTTAAATTGCTTTTAAATTTTGTTAGATTTTAGCTATTCTTGTAAGCCGCTCCGAGCCCCAGGGGAGTGGGCTAGCCGTCCACTCACTCCCTCCCTTCTCGAGCGTCGCCGCCCAGCCCTCTCTGGCCCTCCGCCGCGTGCGTTCCGCCTCTCCCGTTAGACTCCCGCGATGTATGCCCTCCCGGCCCCCCTGGCGTCGGCTCTATTTACGGAGATGCCCTGTGTTCCTCCCCCCAGACACTACTTACACTCCTAGTGTACGGATCATACGCCCGTGCCTGTAGCTGTTCCATGCGTTGTGGGTCCCCCCCCTGTTCCTTTTCACAAGCAGCTGCTATTTTTCTCTTGCAGAGCAGATTTCCACGGCCCCAATCGCTTACCGGGCGGCGGCGTTTGTTGCACCCCCACGCACACTTCTGCCCTTTATGCGCCTCTGTCTTTGCCTATGGCTGTCTTTGTCCCTGCCCGTCCCCCCGCTCCACGCCCTCTCAACCCCTCGCAGAAGCATACGAGAAGCTCGCTGTCATTGAACATCAAGAAAACCAAAGTGCTCTCCCAGCAGTCACCAGCCAATCCCTCTCCAATGCCAGAAATACAGCTTAATGGTGTAACATTAGAAAATGTTGACCATTTCCGCTACCTTGGGAGCTACCTCTTCACAAAAGTCAACATTGACACTGAAATACAACACCGCCTGAGCTTTGAGAGTGCAGCATTTTTCTGAATGAAGCAGAGAGTGTTTGAGGACCGGGACATTCGTAAGGATACCAAGGGGTTTGTTTATAAAGCTATTGTCCTTCCAACCCTGCTATATGTCTGCGAGACATGGACTATCTACAGATGCCACATGCAACTCCTGGAACAATATTATTATTATTATTATTATTATTATTATTATTATTATTTAAACTTATATGCCGCCACTCCCCTGGGGCTCGGAGCGGCTTACAAGAATAGCTAAAATCTAACAAAGTTTAAAAGCAATTTAAAACAATTTAAAAACAACAGTATCAAACATTAAAAGCCTGTCGGAACAGGTATGTCTTACATGCCCTGCGGAAAGCTGGTAAGTCCCGCAGGGCACGAACTTCAGGTGGCAGAGCATTCCAGACTGATGGCGCCACTGCTGTGAAGGCTCTGCGTCTGGTTGCCGTTAGACGCAAGGTCTTGACACTGGGGACTTCCAATAGATCTTGGTCCTCAGAACGGAGGGATCTCTGGGGTTGGTAGCGTTGCCTCCGAAAAATCCTGCAAATCTCTTGGGAAGACAGGCGGATAAATGTCAGCATGCTGGATGTAGCAAAGACCACCAGTATTGAAGCGATGGTCCTATGCCATCAACTCCGCTGGACCGGCCACGTTGTCCGGATGCCTGACCAAAGCAGTTGCTCTACTCCGAACTCAAAAACGGAAAATGGAATGTTGGTGGGCAGGAAAAGAGATTTAAAGATGGGCTCAAAGCCAACCTTAAAAACTCTGGCTTAGACACTGAGAACTGGGAAGCCCTGGCCCTTGAGCACTCCAGCTGGAGGTCAGCTGTGACCAGCAGTGCTGTAGAATTTGAAGAGGCACGAATGGAGGGTGAAAGAGAGAAATGTGCCAAGAGGAAGGCATGTCAATCCAACCCCGACCGGGACTGTCTTCCACCTGGAAACCAATGCCCTCACTGCGGGAGAAAATGCAAATCAAGAATAGGTCTCCACAGTCACCTACGGACTCACCAGAACACTAACCTAGGGAGGGCTATGGAACGCCCTCCCTAGAGAGATTCGATCTGCTCCTTCCCTTTTAACATTTCAAAAGGAAGTCAAAACATGGCTGTTTGAGCAAGCGTTCACAAACACAGAGTAACAGATATGGATAAATGATATAGGAATTCGATGATTGACGATGGAATTGGACAATGCTTTACAATAAGGAGACGCCAATGATGTTATTTTTATTGCTGTCGTGGTTTATGTAATTGTAATGTTTTTAATTGTGCTGTGATACTATGTATACTATTTTGTTGGAAACCGCCTTGAGTCGTCGATATGGCTGAGAAAGGCGATATACAAATACAGTAAATAATAATAATAATAATAATAACAACAACAACAACAACCTTGGAAGACCATCCTACTTGGACATCGAGGGATTGCCTAAGTAAGTAAGCAAAGACATATCTAGGTACATCAGTTTAACAGCTGAGAGACCTAGTTGCCTTGCATGAGTACTGGAAAAAGGTTGTGACTTCTAATAGGGTCATGCCTTTCCTTGACCAGTGTTTTCCCAAAAAGATTATGAATCCCATTTCCAAAATGGTTATGGAGATTCACGTTTTCCAAAAGGTAATGGCATCATTTTGCCAAAAGGGCCTGGAGTGGAAAATTACCAGTCAAAGCAGAGAGTTCAGACAAGGGGAAAGTTCAAAAGGGAAATGCCTAGTTACAAGCAGGAACAGGAGGGGGAATCGGCTGCTGAGGAAAAGCAGGCACAGGAATACTGCCAAGAGCAGGCGCCATAAGAGAACAAAAGGAAGCGATAGAGAGGAGGCACGGAATGGAGAAAAAAGCCTTTGCACATGCTCACAATATTGATGATAATTCTGAGCTGCATCTCAGTCTTGTGCAGCACTTTTCTTGTTCACCCAGCAGGGTGATTTGCTCAAATAAACCTGTTGAACGATCTCCTTGCCTGGAGGTTTTGGGGCCATTTGATAACAAAGGGATACAGCAGCATATCCAGACATGAAAGCAAGAAATCCACAAGAGAGCCAGAGAGAAGGTCTCTTTCCTCTTGGCATCACTCACCCTCAGTTCAGTGTCTTCATAAGCCAGACTGAAGCACTTCAAGTTGTAGTCATTCACACACTGGTCTGCGTAACTGTACGCTCGCGTGGAGAAGTCAGAGCATGCCATGGGCAGGCGCAAAAGGTTGTACTCAATCCCTGTAAATACAGGAGGAAGCAAAAAGGTTAGGGATATACAGTTGCTTTGTGCCTCCAAGTCATTTCTGATGTATGGCAGCTACTATTATGTTATTGGATATATAGTGATATAAATGTCACCATGGATAGAATCATAGAGTTGGAAGAGACCCCAAGGGCCATCCAGTCCAACTCCCTACCATGCATGAACACAGACAAAGCCATCCCGACAGATAGCCATCCAACCTCCATAGAAGAAGAAGAAGAAGAATCTATATAAATAAAAATGTAATGTTTGTTTGTGGGATTAACAGAACTCAAAAACCAGTGGGCCAATTGACACCAAATTTGGACACAAGACACCTAACAAGTAACAACCCAATGTATGTCCTTCACTCAAATAAATTGATTTTGTCATTTGGGAGTTGTATTTGCTGGGATTTATAGTTCATCTACAATCAAAGAGCATTCTGAACCCCACCAACAATGGAATTGAACCAAACTTGGCACACAGTTCTCCCATGACCAACAGGAAATACTGGAAGGGTTTGGTGGGCAGTGTCCTTTGGTTTTGGAGTTGTTGTTCACCTACATCCAGAGATCCCTGGGGACTCAAACAATGATGGATCTGGACCAAACTCTACACAAATACTCAATATGCCCAAATGTGAACACTGGTGGAGTTTGGGGAAAATAGAATCTTGACATTTGGGAGTTGTAGTTGCTGGGATTTATAGTTCACCTACAATCACAGAGCATTCCGAACCCCACCAACGATAGAATTGGGCCAAACCTCCCACACAGAACCCCCATGTGGGCCACAGCAACGCGTGGCAGGGGACGGCTAGTAATAATAATAATAATCTGACACGATATGAGGATTTAAAGATCAAACTGCATAGACTCTGGCACAAGCCAGTAAAAGTGGTCCCAGTGGTGATCGGCACACTGGGCACAGAGCCTAAAGACCTTGGCTTGCACTTAAACACAATGGGCGCTGACAAAATTACCATCTGCCAGCTGCAGAAGGCCACCTTACTGCACGCATCATTCGCCGATACATCACACAGTCCTAGACACTTGGGAAGTGTCTGACGTGTGATCCAATTCTGCTGTGGACTCATCTTGTTGTTTTTCAAATAACAACAACAACAACAACAACAACAATATACTATTTATATGCCACATTTCTCCCCTAGGGAACTCATACAGCACTTAAATACATAAGCAAACATTCAGTGCCTTTACAATCATATACAATGAGACACACAAACACAAGCAAAGGCAGAGGCTTCTCCTTTCATTTCTGGCTTCTGGAGACAGTGCAAATTTCTGGCTCTGGGGAGGTGCTTTATCCATTTTGAAGCTGAGGAGCCTGTGTTGTCACCTCCTGGGTGTGTGCTTGGAGCGTCTTTTGCCTTTTCCTGCTGAAGCAGTACCTCTTTATCTACTCACATTGTGTTTTCGAACTGCTAGGTTGGCAGGAGCTAGAGCTGACAGACAGGAGCTCACCCCATCTTGCGGATTCAAACTGCCGACCTTCAGGCCAGCAGTTCAGCAGTACAAGGGGTTAATCCATTGCACCACCATGGCTCCCAAGAAGCATGCAACTGTTTAGTTATGAGATATGGAGTGATATATTATTTATTTATTTATTTATTTATTTCGAGCACTTATACCATAAGTCTTCTGGGGCGGACCGTTCTAATGGGTCCACCACCCCTGTGGAGGGTAAGAGGCACAGTGAGTCTAAACCTGATCAGGTGGTGATCGGTCCATGGCAATGGAGCGAAGGTCAGCTCCTCCACCCCGCCACCTTCATCCCATCCCTGACAAAAAACCAAATCCAATGTGTGCCTGGCACTATGGATGGGACTAATACTAATTGGGACAGGCCCATGGTTGCCATGGCGGCCATGAAGTCCTGAGCCGCACCTAATGGGGTGGGGTGGGGCTCGGAATGAACATTGAAATCTCCCAGGACTAAAAGCCGTTGAGAATTCAAAGCCAAGTCCGAGACCACTCCTGCTAGCTCAAGTAGGGAGACTGTCGTGCAGTGGGGTGGTTGGTACACTAACAGAATCCCTATCCTGTCCCAGTCACCAATCCTAATGTCGATACACTCAAAGGAAGATGACTGTGGGATGGGGCACCTGATCAGGGAGATAAAATCCTTATTTTATATACAGACACTTGTGACATAAATGTCACAATGGAGGCATCCAGTTGTGGTATTAAGGGATACAGAATGATATACAGTGCTTTAGACATCTGTATATGTTGGTGCTATAGTTTTATTGGTAGACCATTTGGCCAGACACACTTTTGACAGCTGCAAGGCAAAAGCTATCACTCTTACCTTCTTCAGAGAAGTAAGAGCGGAGCAAGTGGTCCTGGGCTTCCGTAGACAAGCGCATGATGTTGATCGCAGCAGCGTCAGTGAGGGACCCGCCAAAACCTTTGATGCGCTGGTAGTGTACAAAAGGATTGTACGTATATCGTAAGCCTTTGAAGGAGGGCAGAAGAGAAGAACCTGGTTAGATTTGGGGGAACACTGAGATATTCAATGTCTGTTAAGTTCTTGAGTGTGTCTTTCCAGGAATGGATGGGATTATAAAAAAGGGTGAGACTATAAATCCCAGCACTATTTAAGACTTTGGAAAGGAGCAAAACCCCATTAAAAAGTTCATAGAATCATACTGAAGTCGAACATGACCCCTTCCCTTCTCCTTGGGGGAAATCTACAAGGAAACTGCCCTGCCTCTGGAAAAGCAATCAGCGATCATGAAAAGACCCTTATCTTTGGACATTCTTTGCATGGACAATAATAACAGAAATCCTTTTGACTTCGGAGTTGGGCCGCCATTAGGATTTCCGTTTGGCAGACTTTTAAATCATATAACAATGGGGGGAACGTGACCTTAGGAAAGTCCTCTTTTCCTCCAAGCCGTTTTTCTTTCAAATCTTCCCACTAAGGACATTCAATAAGTTTCCCCTTTGTACCCTATGTGATGGTAAGAGGAAAACCCGGATTAAGCCATCAATACTTATCACGGACCCATCTCAGGACAATAAAGTGGCTTCTCTGGCAGGCCGATCCCTGGACTCGATAAGCCTAAGGACATTAAACTCCATAATCCACTCCAGAATGCATTGTCTCCCTTCATCCCGCCTCCCTCCCTTCTGATTCACTGGAGTGTCGAGATAGCAGGATCCTCCTGATAGGCTCTGGCACACTGCAAAAGCCCTGTGATTGGCCCTGATGCATGGGGGACAGCCAAGCCTCCTCCCAGCTGTTTGCGCATCAGCCAATCCCCTTCGAGCTGGCGGGAGGGGGGAGCGGGAATTTTGAAACTTACAACTCTGTATTTTCTATAAAAATGGCCTTTACTTCTGTAACCACTTGCTCTGCTTGGCGAATGATTGCCGCTCTGCATCCTTTTCAGCTGAACCACTAATAAACCTCGGTGGCACTTCCTTCCACTTGGTGAGACCTTTTATTGGGAAAAATCAGGGATTGAGTGCTTCTCTCTGTCTCGCCACACTAAAACAGTAGATGTGGCTCTTAATGAGACATGCCGCATTATCACGGGGTGTCTGTGCCCTACACCACTGGAGAAATTACACTGCTTAGTTGGTATTGCACCACCTGACATCCGCCGGGAAGTAGCAGCCAATAGTGAAAGGACCAAGGCAGGGACATCTCCAGCTCATCCCCTGTTTGGGTACCAGCCGGCACATCAACGACTTAAATCTAGGAATAGTTTTCTAAGATCTACAGAGACACTCGCTGGAACACCTCAGTAAGCGAGAGTCCAAAAGTGGCAGGCTCAAACCCAGAACCTCAATCAATGGCTGTTGCCAAATGAGAGACTCTCCCCTGGGCACACAGAAAACTGGGCAACTTGGAAGGCGCTGACCAGACTGTGTTCTGGCACCACGAGATGCAGAGCCAACCTCAAGAAATGGGGCTACAAAGTGGAATTCCCAACATGCAAGTGTGGAGAAGAGCAAACTACAGACCACCTACTGCGATGCAACCTGAGCCCTACCACATGCACCATGGAGGACCTTCTTGCCTCAACACCAGAGGCACTCCAAGTGGCCAGATACTGGTCAAAGGACATTTAATCAACTACCAAACTTGCAAATTTTGTGTTCTGCCTGTTTGTTTGCTTTGTTCTGTTGATTTGCTTTAAGTTGTATATTTGTTATGCTATTGTTTTATTGAGGCCTTGGCCTTTGTAAGCCGCATCGAGTCCTTCGGGAGATGCTAGCAGGGTACAAATAAAGATAATAATAATAATAATAATAATAATAATAATAATAATAATAAATGTAATATAATTGACTGGTTGCCCTGACACGACAAATAAATAAATACCACCTATTTCTTTTTCCTTTTTTGGATTATATATCTTCTTTCTTTAGTCCTGATTTTTCATATATTTTCATGTGTTCCTTATAAAATATTTCCCTATACTCTGGACTCTTATGTGGTGCTGTGCTCATAGGTGTTTCCAGGCCCGGGGTGCAATATGACTTGGTCAAAATTAGGGTGTGCATTAGATTTGCGCAATACAGTAATCTTAGTGCTGAGTCAAAGGAATTACAACACAGGATCTCTTCAATCATCTGGAGAGGCCCTGCTCACGCTCTTAGGAAAATTGCATTCAAATCACCGCTGACAGATGGCCATCCAGCCTCTATTCAAAAGCCTCCACCACACTCCGGGGCAGAGTTCCACTGCTGAACAGCTCTCACAGTCAAGAAGTTCTTCCTAATGTTCAGATTGAACCTCCTTTCTTGTAGTTTGAAGCCATTGTCCCATTGTGTCCTGGTCTCCGGGGCAGAAGAAAACAAGCTTGCTCCCTCCTCCCTGTGACTTCCTCTCATGTATTTATACAAGGCTATCATGTCTCCTCTCAGCCTTCTCTTCTGCAGGCTAAACATGCCCAGCTCTTTAAGCCGCTCCTCATAGGGCTTGTTCTCCAGACCCTTGATCATTTTAGTCGCCCTCC